ATCCGCCGATCAGCTGTTCGGCGGCTCCAAAATGGCCACCGCAATACCCGATCTTCGCAATGCGGGTTTTCCCCATTGCGAAGATCAGGTATGTTTCCGTATAACGATCCCGAAAAAGGCATCGCTATACGGAAACATCGCTATACGGTGCACTCGTTAAGCGAGGCACCACTGTACTTGATTATGCTAAGCACCACTGGTGTATCCCTTAACAGCCACAAGATGGAACTTTAGACTACACAATTCCCACTAAGAGCTTCCCACAATGGCAGTTCATCATTTCTGGCTGAAGGGCTAGAAATGAGCCAAACTGGTGTGGGAGAGGTATGTGTTTCTTTCTGTTGAATCACCAGGGTATGCTCATTTTATTCTATATTATGCATGTATGCATGTTATCTAAAAAATATTTGTACCCTACTTTTCCGCTTAAGAAGGACCCAAGGCGGCTGACATTATTAAATGGCAGTACAGTAGGACCCCTGTATCTGTGGGATCAGTATCTGTGGTCTCACTTATCCACTGCCTGAAAAGATTAAAAATATTAAAAGAAAAAAATCTATTTTCACATGTATTATCAGACTCAGCCACTAGAGGGCACCGGAGACCGTGCTATGGATATTTGTTAGTGAAGAATACATAGCATGGTTTCTGACACCCTCTTATTATAGAATCCTAGAATAGGGGCATTGGAAGGGGTCTATAAAGCCATCAAATCCTGCTCGATGGAGGAATTCAAATCAAAGGAAATCTGCTGGGTGGTTGTCTAAATTTCTCTTGAGCAACCCAGCGCTGGAGCACTCACCACCCCTCGAGGTAACTAATTCCACTGTCTTACTGCTCTAACAGGAAGTTTTTCTTGATATTCAGCTGAAATCTGGCTTCCTGTCACTTGAGCCCATCGTTGTGTGTCCTGCACTCTGGGATGATCGAGAACAGATCCTGCCCCTCCTCTGCAGGACAGGGGTTCAAGTCTTTGAAAAGTGCGATCCTATCACCCCTCTGTCTTCTTTTCTCAAGGTTAAAACATGCCCAGTTCTTTCAGTTTTTCCTCACACGGCTTACAAAGACTGTAAAAGATAAAACGATACCACATTGAGACAGTTAGCAAAATAAATGCCAACGTCACATTCAAAGCAGTAAAGGCACAACCATCCCTTTTAAAAGCACGTTCAGAGACCCAGTCATGAAAGGAAAGCTTGTTCAAGAAGCTGAAGCTGTCAGCACAAAAGTGGATAGACGTTTAGCCAGCGGGGACCAGTCAGCTAGTTTGTTCACACACAGCATATCACAAGGAAAAACGTTGGTGTCCCGTTGATTAATCCAATAACAATGGGTGACAAATGTTATAGTTCTTGAGAATAAACCCTTTCTTGAGAATAAAAGCTGATGGGCACAGGGCTTCTCTGCATTTGCAGGACCAAAAAAGCTTGACGGAGACCAGCCTGTCGTTGCAGGTTGTCAAGCGGAGTCTCTCCCAACCGGGCCTGGAGACCATGGTCTGGCATGTTTTTCAGGAGGATGCTTCCGGGAACATGGAATCTTTGGGTAAGGAGCCCTTTCCTCAAGTCTCATGAGCCTCAACCCACCCGATGGTTCATTTGCAGGGCTGGAGAAGAGCCAACCGGCACAAAGAGGAGGGAATGTTTTCATGTACAGTGGTTCCTTGCTTTACGATTGCCCTGCATTACGATGAAACCACATTACGACGGTCTTTTGTGATTGCATTTACAATCGGAAAGCAATGCTCTAAATGGGGTTTTTCGCTCTGCGTTCATCAGTTCCCTGCTTTGGGAACTGATTCTTCGCAAAACGACGATTTTTCTCCAGCTGATTGGTGGTTTCAAAATGGCTACCGGGTAAATAAAATGGCTCCTCGCTGTTTTCTGGGATGGATTCCTCGCAAGACAGCCACCAAAAATGGCTGCCCTATGGAGGATCTTCGCTGGACGGTGAGTTTCCAGCCCATTGAAACACACTGAAGGGGTTTGATGAACCATCAACAGCTTCATACGCGATGGAAACTCCATCAATGCTCTCAGTGTGGGAAAATATTTTAGAGAAGTGCTGAAAAGACACCAGAGAATTCACACCGGAGAAAAACAGTATAAATTTTCTCAGTGCAGGAAGTGCTTCAATCAGTGCGGTGATCTGAAGCGCCACCGAAGGATTCACACGGGAGAGAAACCGTATGAATGTCCTGACTGTGGGAAGAGCTTCAGCCGGAGAGAACACCTGAAGGATCATCAGAGGATCCACACAGGGGAGAAAC